CCGCGGCCCCTCCCAGCCTGACCCTGCAGCCCAGCCCCGAAGCCCACGCCATGCCCCTAGGCCCAGTTACACCCGCCCTGCCTCTCCAGTGCCCCGCGACCAGTCTGCACAAGGCTGGCGGCACTCAGCACTGTCACCCTCCCACGCCAGACGCTGGGCCTCATAATGGATACCCTGAGGGCCTGGCCCACACCCCTCAGCGCAGGTTCCAGCACGCGTCGGCTGTCATCCTACAACTGCAGCCCGCCTCACCAGTGGTGAGTAAGCCAGTGCCAAGGTCCAGGGAACAGACGGGAGGACGCAGCTCCGTCAGCGCCACAGCGCCCGCGTGGAGGTGTTTTTGTCGAAGTCCTGTCTGGGTGATCCAAGAAAGCCCAGGGGCCCCTCCCTAATTTGGGGCTGGCTGAACCTTAACGTCCTTGCCGGCCACCCAAACTCCTCGGAAACGGGAAGTATCCGAGGATGTAGAGGCAATGTGTGAGCAGATGATCCCTGTCCTGTCCCTTCATAGCCCCAGCAGTGCGCCGAGGATGACTGGAAGGAAGCAGTACCTGGGGAGAAGAGTGTGCCCGAGACTCGGTCTGGCCCATCACCCCACCAACAGGCCATCGTCACTGCCATGCCTGGAGGCCTGCCCGTCCCCAAGAGCCCTAACGTCCAGCAGCCCCCAGCTCACGGTATGAAGTGGAGTGGGGCCCTGGAGGGAGGGGAGTGAGTTGGCCTTCCTGGCCATGCCCTGGCACGTTTCACTTGGGCGGGTAAACCACCGCAGGCCCACGAGGCAACAAGGAAGCTGGGTGGGTGGAAATGGGGCTGGGGGTAGGGGGAGGAGGACTGGAAGATGAACCAAAGGGAAAGAAAGGGGACTCAGAAGATAGAAAAGAAGAGAGAAAGAAAAGGAGAGTTGAAAGTTCTAGATCCAGACTCTGAGGCCTACATGTCATTGCTGTCAGGTGTATCTGCATACCCATACGCCAAGTTGAGAGTTCAGGCAGGTTTCCAGTTGTCTCAATTCTCTGCTTCGCTTGCTCCGAGAAGGAGTTCTTGAAATTGGAATATGACAAACAGCTGCCATAGATCAAAGATACAGCAAATGCCTAGGGGGAGCCAGAAGGGGATTCAGAATGAGTTCAGCTCATGGAAAGCGTTTTTGAAAGAACTGCTCAGCTCCAGGATCCCCAGCTGTCTGTCTGTGAGTGCCCAGTGACAAATGGCCTTCTCCATGACTGGGTTTCAGGACACGCTGCTGGACCCCTCTACCCTGTTGGGAGAGTCACAGCATGACCTCTGGGTCCCCTCTCTGCTGGTGCACAATCTTGGCCCAGATCTGTGACATTCTGAGCTGTGGGCCACCTACAAGTCAGGGAGGCAGTTCCAGTCATCGGACTAAGTATGTGCTGGAGTCGGGGTGGGGAGAGTGGAGAGACAAAGAGTTTGGAAACTCAAGAAGGAGAAATGAGAAGACAAGCACTTGGGGACAAAGTAGGGGAAAGGGCTATCAGTGTCCTGTAAGGAATAGAGGATGGGATCAAGGAAAAGGAAAGCAAAAGAATGTGGAGAAAGAACATCAGGAAAATTAAAAGACAGGAAGGAGGCCATCCGTTCTCTTGGCACACTTGCAATAAGAAGGGATTCACCAGTTTGAAAAGCAGCCCATTCCACTGTGGAGTTGCTCTAATTATCAGAAAGTTGCTCTTCAAATTAAGCCAAAACCAGCTCTCCTGGAACTTCCATCACTGGCTGTGAACGTCTTGGGAATTCTAACAGTCCATCTCCTGTCGCCTTCGTAGACAGTTACCGTGTCTCTTTCCTCTCCTTCCCATTAAAAAAGGGAAAATCTCCAGGCTGCATATCTGAGAACTTTTTTTTTTTTTTTTTTTTTTAACCCATCCCATGTCAAGACCTCCCATTCCCACCACCATCTGGTCATTCTTGTTTAGCCACATTCCACCTTTGCATTAATTCTCCCAAAGTGTAAGCTCCCAAATTAAGCACAGTCATTCCAAATATAAAAAGCCACTGGCCACCATTGGTTGGCACCTAGACATAGCTTTATATGCCCTTCAGGGGGCAGGACTGTTTCGCAGATCTGCATGGTATGGTAGGGAGGAACTGAGATTTGTCTGCACACCTACTAGGTGCCAAGTACTGTTCTAAGTTTTCCTTCCCTCGTTCATGATAACCCTGAGAGAGAAATATTATTGTCCCCATGATTCGGAGGAGGGAATAAAAGCCCATAGAGGGTCCAGGACACACTGCTGTAAAGGGCAGTGCCCTGACTCTGGCTCCGAGCGTAACTCCCTCACCTTCCTGCATCAGCATGATGCACCCAGAGCCCCGCAGTAGCTCCTCCCAGCCAGGGGAATGACACCATTGGCTCATAGAGCACTGTCACCTGAATCCCAGAGGGCTGGGTTTGGAGTTTATTTTTTATTTTGTTTTTAAGGTTTCTTTTAACACAGACTGCTATCATTCCAGGTCTCCACAGTCTCAAACTTGTACAATTTATATTTTGAGCCCAAATATATAGTTAATTATGCCTATTAAATGTTATCTTGTGAATTCAGCCGGTAGTTCCTGCCCAGCAAGAAAATAGTTAATAGCTAATATTTACTAAGCCCTCTCTGCCAGGCTTTATGTGTATTTCCTCATTTAGTCCTGACAGTAACCCTATGAGGTAGAAGGGACTTTTATCATCCCCATTTTAAAGATAGGAAAACAGAGACACAGAGAGAATCAGTGAGGGGGCAGAAATGTTTTAGATCTGGATTTTGTGATTCTTTATATTAACTCCTCTGCTTGACTTTGCCATCTGTAAATCATATAGCATGTTCTCTTTGTCTTTAACCAATGTGCTGATAGAAATGTTGAATAGGACCCGACTGAGGACACATGCTCTGTCTGCAGGTTGGTGATAATATGCATTCTTTGTTCAAGTACTTGTTATCCAGTAACTCCTAAATGAACTGACATTTGCCTATCTTTCTCTGTCTTCTCTATAAAGCTCTCAAAAATCTCTTTCTGAAATCTATACTTATAACAAGCATCCTGTTCCTGAGGTACTATCTCATGAGAGAAGTGGGCTTTGCACAGTGGAAACAACTGTGAACCACCCAAGACTTAAATATTTATCCATTCTATGTTGGAATGCCTGCTCGTTGCAAAGCACTATGGGCTGGGAGGTAATACATAGAGAAATAAGGTCCGTGCCCTACCTTCAAGGAGCTTAAGGTCTGCTGGGAAAGACGAGAAATGCACAGGAAGAAAACATACAATAAAAACCAAAATGTGATAAATGCCATAGAAGGATTATAGGTAAGTACTTTAAAAGTTAAGAGGGAAGAGTTACCAGCAAGTAGAGATTATCAGGATAGATTGCTGAGAGGAAGGGGCGTTGTTCTAGAGCAGAGGTTGGCAAACTACATCCCACCTTGAGTCACCTTGTACGTCTCTTGTACCCCTCACAGCTCCTAGCGTATCTAGTGAATGAATGTGCTTCGCCATGACAATCCAGTTTAAATCAGTGTGGTTTAGGAAGAGAAGTAACATTTATTGGGCTCCAACTGTGTGCCAAGCACTGCAGGCAATTTGTGTAAATGTCCTCAGTTAACCTTCACAGTAAGCCTAAAGAGTAGGCATTATCCCCGTTTATGGAGGTGTAACTGGGTCACTTTGGTCATTACTTAACTTCTCTGATCCTCAGTTCCCAGGGAGGAGAATAATGACTACTTGTAGTGTTACTGTGAAGCCTAAGTGGGGATGCGTGCGCCGAGGGCTTGACACATACTAAGCGCTAGTCGTTACTGCTAGTCGTTATTATTATTGCCTCCGAATTGGCCGGGCGGGAGTCAACAGTCCGCCATGCCACTGGGGACTTCTGACCGGCCGCGGGCAGACATCCTCGCCGCGCGGCGCCCGCCTCCCTAAACCGGAGGCCGACGTCCCTAACCCGTCGCCGGTTCGGGGCGCCTT